TAAGCCAGCACAGTTAATAACAGTTAGCGATAACGTATAACGAAATCTGGCGCAAACTCCTTTACTGACTTTGCCAAATTACAAAACAATTTCGCTATTTAATTCGGGTTACCTTTAACTTAGTTTTTTAAGTCAAATTTTTAATACAACAGTAAAATAGTAAAAAATACTGTGTAAAAATTGAAGTTGTTACGAAATATTTTTGTTAACTTGTTTTGAAAAAATGCATATAAAGACGGTAAAAACGGATATATTGGCATTTTTTTTTGTGACCCTAAAGTTTTTTATTAAAAAAAAAATACTTCGTATGTATTGTTTTTCTTAGTACAAACCTCAATTTAAAAGTTGCGTGATAATTATAAATTTTTTTGTGAATGAGACACCCTAGTCCAATTTTTAATAACAAAAAGTTTTCTTCTAAATGGAAAAAAAAGGAGTGCGTGTTGAGTTGTTTCCAAAAAAAATACGCGTAGTAATTTCCAAATAATTGCGCTTTATTTATACACATAAAATGAATTTATTGTCACATAATTTTGTTAGTATTTCAGTCGCTTTAATTGTGAAAATTGTTTAATTGATATAGATATATAAAAATCGTTTTATATATTTATATCAATTATGATATAGATATATAAAACTAGAAATCACTGTTTCAAACAATATAGCTGGAATGTAAATACCAAGTTGGCTGGCTTCAACTATAAAGGTTTTATGCAAACCAATATTTATAAATAATTGAAATATGAATATTGAATTGCATATTTAGAATTAGGACAACCACAAAAAATCTTACCCTGTGCACGAGTTATATTACAAAATTAGATACGCCAAAAATTTCTGGCTTAAAACCAAGAAACCTCAAGTTCTATACCGGCACCTGCCAGTTCTGAGATAAGACCGTTAGTTCTTCTTAAACACCTTTAAAGCATTATTATAACGCTTGAAGGATGTTTAAAATTTGATTTTAAAGATGTAACATGTGAGTATGATTTTTAAATGAGTTAAGTATTGCAAGTTACAAGTAAAGATAAAGATTGTAGGGTTTGAAAAAAAAAAGTTGTTTATTTAGCTAAAGCCGGGATCAAACCATGAACACTGAGTTCTAACTCAGGGTTCTTTTTAAGTCAGTGCTAACCAATGCTGCACGCTAAAAAATTAAAGATATATATTTAAGTTTTATTATCTTTAAGTCTTTTATAAGTCTTATGGCTCTTATGACACTTAGAAATGTTTTAAAATGTGATTTGAAAAAAAAATATTTTGTAAAACTGATCAATTTGGTTAATTTAGTATTAAAATCATTCAATGAAAGCATTTAGTATATTTGCACTATTTAAAAGTAGAAACTTATATTACATTATATTGATTAAACAACCTTTAAGGCCTCTCTGTCTTTTTTTTTTGCATAAAATAAAAAGTCAAGCAGATTTTTTTGTTTTCAAATTAAAAAGAAAATCTAAAATGAAGGTACAAAAGGTCGGTCGCAAAACTCTAAGGCCCTCTTCCCCCTCCCTTACAGTTCGGGCTTGATAGTAAGTATAAAACCTAATAATTAATTTTTTTAGGTAAAATATACTAGTTGCAGACAGAAAAGTGTGTTTAATATTTATTAATAGTTAGTTAAACCTAAAAATATCAAAAATTTTCAATAACTAATTTTTTAAAAAAGTGCGCCCTTATATTACTAAAATTAAGAACTTTATATAATAAAATATATAATGAAAATTTCAATTAAAAAATAATACCTATATTAATTTATATAGTACAATAGCAGAAATAAAAAACTTCATTAAAATATTTAACTACTTGCGCTTATATGAACAGAAATAAATAGGACATCAATTTCTCTTTTCGTACGATTGCAACTAAAAAGTTTTAACAAAATCGAACCGATCAAAGACATTTCAGTAACTTCCCTCAAGATAATGCGCGGGAAAAAAAAATACACGTAGCAAAAAAATTTTAGGGAACAAAAATATAAAGAGTGGTGGAACTATGTTATTTTTTGGAGAAATTACTTGGTTTTCAGAAACAGCTGTTGTTTTTTGGCGAAGTTTTCATATAGCGAGGGGAATTATGTTTGGCCCACATGTTACGCAAGCCGTAAAAACTAGTAAATAAAAAGTTAATTTTGTATGCGTAAAATACTTTTAAGTTAAAAAAATACTTTAAAATAAAAAATACCTATAATTTTGCAGCAATTGAAAAAAAATAAAATGGTTTTAAATAACGTTTTTACGCTTCCCTTGTCTCAATGTCAAAATTTGTAAAACTAGGGCTCTTCCGCAAAAGTTACAGTAGTAGTAGTAGTAGTAGTAGTAGTAGTAGTAGTAGTAGTAGTAGTAGTAGTCGTGATATCCCCCATGCTACCTTTCTATGTTCCCTGGTGTTACATTTACCACCCTAGTGTTACATTTTGCCCCTCATGTTACTTTTTTTTTTACTTGCCCCTCATGTTACAAAAACGGCGTAACATGCGGGACGGCGCTCCCTCATGTTACGGAACTTGCGTAACATGAGGAATCATTGTACCCTTATGTTACGGTTGTCAAGATCGCATGAGGGACATATAAAAAAAACATTATGTTTGAATAATAAGGCAAAATAAACCAAATAAAATTTCTATAATTTTTCGCTTGGATAACTTGGTATGTTGAAATATTAAATTTTTTATAATTTTGAACTTTTAATTATACTTTTTTAAGGCTAATTTAACTAATTTACATTTTTTTGTATATTTTAGCATATATATATACATACATATATATACATATATATATATATATATATATATATATATATATATATATATATATATATATATATATATATATATATATATATATATATATATATATACATATATATATATATATATATATATATATATATATATATATATATATATATATATACTATATATATATATATATATATATATATATATATATATATATATATATATATATATATATATATATATATATATATATATATATATATATCTTGAGTGTCGCATAGCATAATAACACGATGTTTTTTAATCTTGACATGTTCCGTAATTTGCATTACATTTTCAAAAGATTATTTTTACAATTAAAAATTCTGAAATAAATATTAAAAACTGTAGACTTCACAGAGAATATTAACGGACAAAAATATATATAATAAACCAATAAAATAATTACAAATGACTCAACAAATATCCAATCAATATAATCAAAATAAAATAAACTGTCATTCTAATTAAATAGATTATTAATTAAAATGACTTATTATGATTATGTATCATAGGTAATAGAAAATTATCTAGCTAAACTTACACTGCTAATTCGCATGTTTAGTAAACATTGCTTTATGGCAGACAAAATTTTTTTAAAAAAACTCTACTATCCATTGTGCAAATAAATCCATGCTTCTAAATGCGTTGACCTTTAATATTTTTTTACTTACTTGTAATGGAAAGAGTCCTGTTCTTATATGTTTTCTAAGTTTTGAAATAAAAATTGTATTGTAGTATTTAAAATCCTCGGAATGTAAACAAATATAGTTTATATCAAATTATAGTTGTCTAATTAGAAAATATTGGAATTAAATTTACACTTCCTTTTTTTTAATTAGTCTTTTTTTTTCCTACACTTTTTGCTTATATGTCTATTCATACATCATACTATGTTAACATACATGTAAATTAACTTAAATATATGTTCGTAGTGATGTACAGATTAATTGGCATCAGGTTAATTGGCTACCTTTTCACAATTTGCTTTTCTATTATAATGGTATATTACAACTTATGTGTTGTAATATACCATTATATCAGTAGTAGTACAAAAGGACTAAAATCTGTATGGATTATCAGAGACTAAACAGGATTTTTGTTAAACTCAAGATAAATATTAGTAGTTTGGCAAATAAACTTTCAGAGACTTGATAATAATAGCAAGTAGATTTTTTAAAAATTGGAACAGTCAATAGATTTAAACCTGATTTTATGGTAAATAGGGGAATTGATATATAGTTATATGCCTAGGCCAGGCATTGGAGTCTTTGTAAACAAATGGATAGTAGTGTTCAACATTGATATCTAAAGATGAAATAAAACTAAATTTAAAATAGTTTTATTAGGTTTATAAACAGAGTTCATAAATTCCTCAGAGCAACTAAATTGAGTTTTAGAGCTGTACTGTCATTAAACAACAGCAGCAGAATTGCACTGCTACTACCATGGAGACACAAACAAAAAGTCATGAATAGAGTCAAGAAGATCCAGTTTTTTTTATTCTTAGCAGGAAACAATCTAACACAGTTTTAAATATCTGTTAGTCTATTAGATGACAAAGGGGTGCGAGGGCAACTTAAATTTTCTCCTTATCTGTAAAGTCTTTGCCAAGGAGATTTTCAACAAAGCTGTAATCAAATCCTAACATCTGCCCAAAATGCGAATTTTTATCAAAACACCAGCTTTAATTTAACTGGGAGCACCAAAGCAGAGGGTGTTTTAAGTCAAAGTTATTTTTTTCTAGCCTTTGGCTAGAAAAGCAAGTTTTAATTGATCTTGATCCTGACCTATACTAAAATATTGTTGGTCATAATTTTTAATCATTAATCTGTGTCAGTATCACTCTTTTTCTGCCCATTTACATTAGAATCAGTATTGGTTAAAAATCTGCAATTTGTACATCACTATACATGTATTATATTTTTAAATGGTAAAACCCATTTGGTCAAATAATCTATTATTTATATAAAAACATGTTTTGTTCTACTTGAAATAAATTTTGAATAGTATTATTAAATTATTCTCTCCACTTTTGATTAATTAAAGAATAAGTAAATTGATAGATAAATAAACAATGGAAAATGTAGATAATTTAGTTAATCTTTTTGTTTTTTCTACCCAAAGGATTTTGTTTTATAAACTACAAACAAAAAAAAACTAAAGAAATTATTGTTTGCATAAAATAAAATTTTTCACATAAAAATATATGCACATTTACTCAACATTTTTTGTGTGTGTGGGAGAAAGTAAATGTGTGAGACTTACTTATTTACTTTCTGTGAAAGTATTTAGTTGACGGTTTAATAGCTTTAAATTGCAGTTCAATTTTTTTTAGATATACTTTAGTTTAGGTTACCTTGAAGCACATTAAAACACTCAATTAAAAATATGGCTGCAAGAAAAATGGTTAGTCTATTTTTATATAAATTTTTTTGTATAGATAAACTAATTCTTATTTTAAGTAAAAAGGTTTTTAGTGAAATAGAAGTGTAGAAAATAATTTTGTTTTTATTTTTAGCGTAGTACTGAAAAAAAAATTGATCCTTTGGATATTGCTAAAAGAATGATTCAGCAAGAAATGGATTTACCAATATTTATTAAGCACTATATATCAGATGCTATAGGTACCAAATTTGGGTTAAAATAATTGTTGTGTTTAAAAATAATTCAAAAATAAACAATTTTTTTACTCAATGTCAAAACTTCTTCTTTTAAATCAGTGTTAGGCAAACAGAAAAGTTCTCTTTTTATCCCTCAATTCTATTATATTTCATAACTTATTTAGTGTTATTAGTCTTTTTTTTTTTCTACACTATGGATCCATAAGTTTAGTTTAAGTAGTTATTAAATTTTTTAGTAAAAAGCTTAAAAAAATGCTTGTTTTTTTATCAATGCTGTTATTAGTCATGCTTATTTTTAAAAAGTATTTGTAAATAAAATAGCATTCTCAACATATATTTTGATCTAAGAGTTCTTGTAACCTTTTTTTAATAACAATTAATTTTTGTATTTTCAGTGTTTCCTTTTTATACTGAATATAAAAATAGTAAATAATTAATTAATTTACTTAGGTTTTGGAGTTTTTGCAAACATGGATATTCCAAAGGGATCATTTCTATTAGAATATCCCGGTGAACTTGTTGAACATTATGAAGGAGAAAAAAGGCAAAGTTTTGCAGAGGAAATTAATCTGGGATGTTTTATTTTTTTTTTTTCTTTCAATGGTAAACAGTACTGGTATGTAATTTTGAAATGTGCTTAAAACAAATAAAAAAATTTAAAAGTAAATCTAATTTATTAATTTTCTCATAGTGTTGATGGAACATATTCTTCTCGAATGGGAAAATTTGTCTCGAATGGGAAAATGGGAAAAAGATAGTTCACCATCTTATTCAAATTGTTTTGTTAAAATTGTTTCTGAGAGAAATGTTCCTCATTTATGTCTTTTTTCAACAAAAGATATTCCAAAGTTTACAGAATTACGGTGAGATATTAGCAATAATTTATTTTCTCTCAAAATTATTAAAAAAAAATTTTTCTCAATGATATTCAATCAGTACAAATTTATAGATATAGCTATGGGGAAACATCTGGATTATCTTGGCGAAAGCAGGTTCATTTTATTTATAAAGTTTTTGTAACATTTTGCTATTATTCATTGAGTAAATTATTTGGATTAAGAATGGTTTTATAATAATCAAAAATATTTATTAAAACTTTTTTATTTATTTCTGTTGTTATTAGTCTATTTACAAAAGACCATTAATATTGACAAATATGGATGTATGTAAAGTTTTTACTCTTTTTTCTTTTTGAAAATTTATGTTAACTAATATAAGTTTGTTAACTTTACTAAAATGAAAATAATTTTCTAGAATTTTGTAAGAACTTTAGACACAGAAAATCGTATTTCAGTTTAGAAATTTCTTTTATAATTAATTTTTTTTTTTTTTAAGGTAAAATTAAATATTTTAAATTTTTTTCTTTTATTTTTATTTCCTATTAAACTTAAGGAATAAAAGTTTGCTCAATATTTATTAGAAGTACAACTCAATCTTTTTTCTAAAGTTTTATTTTATGAATTCACCAGATAATATTGACCACTGCAATGTTAAAACCACAAACTGTGGCAAGCAACAGCTTTCTAATGATAATCAAAGTGTTAGTGTAAGTCAAGTTTTGCTGTTTGAAAATGTTGAAAATCAATATTTAAAATTTTTTGTATCAACCCACAAATCGTATATTGTTGTTTTTGTAATTTAAGTTTTTTTTTTTGAACACATTTTAATAGAGTAACTAAAATGCCATTACTAAATAGGCAGGGGACCACTATTCCACTACATTCAGCAAACACTCCACTAACTCCAATCACGAAAATATTGTAATTCATGTATTTCTTTTAGGTATTACGATTTGCTGAGATACAAAAATTGAATTAGTTTTTATATAATTTTTAATATAATGACCTAACTTAAAAAAGATCTCTTGATATTTGAATAAAAAAAATCTGAAAAATTATTCATGTATAAAATTTCATACATATATAAATATATATGTAAAAAATATATGTTTATTAAAAAAATTTATTTAAATTTCAAACTTGTTTATTCTTGGATATATATGTTAGATCATAATACAATCAAAAAGTCCAGCACAAAATATTTATTCATCTATTCTATTATCAGGTATTCGTTTTAAAATTTTATAAGTAAAATAATTATTTCCAGTGCTGCATGTAAACTGCTTAAGTGAATATGTAAGAGTAAGAGTGAAGTGTTTTATATATTAATTGTTGTTAAATATTTGTAATCATGGTTTTTGCTCATTCTTGTCTATTTTAGAAATTAATATATAGTAGTTATTACCAAAATAATAGTTTATAACATTTATTTTAGAAAATATTGACTTGATCAATGAAAATGTTCAAACCTGTGAGAAATCTGTTCCTCAAACCTCATTAACTTCTTTATACAGTGTAAGTAACTTATAAATTGTCAAAAATTTTATGTTTTGTTTTCTTCAAGTTTATGAGAGTTTTTGATGTTACCTTGTTTATTTGACCTAGTTTTTTTTTAGAATGTGAATGAATCAGAAAGTTCAACATCAGATATTATATCACAATCCCCTGTTTTATTAACAGGTTTTATTTAGTTTTTTAGTCAAATAGTAATTTTTAGTGTAAACAAGTTAAATTGGTATATAAGTTTTATTTTATCTTGTGACAATATTAAGTTACTCAGGTAGTGCGAGTATAGTCTGTAATTAAGTTTAAGTAAATTCAAATGTTTATAATCAAAGTTATAAATATTTTTATAATTAAAAAATTTTTTCATTATACATTTTAATACATTATATACTTTTCAAATGCATAATGAAAAAATTACTATTTACTTCAAAACCAGACACCTCTTTAAAAGAATTATAATAATAAATATTGTATATCCACTTGATGACAATTGATGTTTAAAATTCTTTTTTTTTTTCTAATAAAAATTGTTGAGTTGTAATTAACATTTTTTAAAAACAGTATGTATTTAAAAACCTTTTTTTAGAAAATATTGGCTACATATTTGAAAAAGTTCAATCCTCTGAAAAATCCATTTTTGTAACTTCTGTACAGAGTGTAAGTAACTTTTAGACTGTCAATGTTGAAATATTAAATACTTGTTGAATTCTTTCATATCTTTTTAATATAAATTTGTTAGCTATACTGAAATAATAACTTTTTCTATTTATTTTATTAGAATAATTTAGACGCAGAAAATCATATTTCAGGTTAGAAATTTTTTTTGTAATTAATATTATATTTCTTTTAGGTAAAAATTAAAATATTTTAGATTTTTTTCTTTTATTTTTATTTCCCATTAAGTTTAAGGAATAATAATTTATTCAATATATAATACAAGGACAAGTATTTTTTCTTAACTTTTATTTTATGAATTTTCCAAATAATATTGACCACTGCAATATTAAAATCACAAACTGTGGCAAGCAACAGCTTTCTAATGATAATCAAAGTGTTAGTGTAAGTCAAGTTTTGCTATTTGAAAATGTTGAAAATCAATATTTTAAATTTTTTGCATCAACCCACAAATCGTATATTGTTGTTTTTGTAATTTAAGTTTTTTTTTGAACACATTTTAATAGAGTAACTAAAATGCCATTACTAAATAGGCAGGGGACCACTATTCCAATACATTCAGCAAACACTCCACTAACTCCAATCATGAAAATATTGTAATTCATGTATTTCTTTTAGTTGTTTACGATTTGCTGAGATACAAAAATTGAATTAGTTTTTATATAATTTTTAATATAAAGACCTAACTTAAAAAAGATCTCTTGATATTTGAATAAAAAAAAATCTAAAAAATTACTTATGTATAAAATTTCATACATATATAAATATATATGTAAAAAATATATGTTTATTAAAAAAATTGATTTAAATTTCAAACTTATTTATTCTTGGATATTTATGTTAGATGATGATAGACTCAGAAAGTCCAGTGCAAAATATTTATTCATCTATTCTGTTAGCAGGTATAAATTTTATTTGTTGAAAAAGTAAAATAATTATTTCCAGTGCTGTATGTAAACTGCCTAAGTGAACATGTAAGAGTAGAAGTGAAATGTTTTTATATTTTCATTGTAGTTAAATATTTGATAATCATGCCAACGGTTTTAAATTTTTATTTTCTGATTTAGAAGTTAATGTATATAATAGTTATTACAAAATAATTAATAGTTTATAACATTTATTTTAGAAAATATTGACTTTGTAATTGAAAATGTTCAAACCTGTGAGAAATCCACTCTTGAAACTTCTGTACCCAGTGTTAGTAACTTAATTAATGTTAAAATTTTATCCTCTTATCTTTCATATGTTCTTTCAACAATGTTTTTGACATTTTGTAATTTATTTAACTATAAATAAACTTAACTTATTCAAAAATGTTTCTTATAATGTTTCAATTTAAAAAAATTGACAAAATATTAAATCATGTTCTTGCACAAAATAAGTGAAATTAATGGTTAATTTTTGTCATAAAATTAGAAGATAAAAGTGCGCACCACACTCACTTTATTTAAAAAAGGCAATGTCCTCCTGGACTGAACTTCTGAAACCTATCGGATTTTATGTTAATATAAGCATAAAATCTTCATGAGTTATTTGTTAAAAACCAAATAGCATTATTAGTAAAGTTACACTTTCTTAAGTTTACTAAAAAGCATTTTATCTATATTCTAAAAAAAATCTATTAATCTGTTGTTTTGCAACAGAAATAGCAACTAACATGTGGCATAAGTTCAAACTTTTATAGTTTGAAATAAAAGTATACAATGAAAATGAAATTTAAAATATTGTAACTTTTTTTTCATCAACATTCAAACAAAGATTCAAAATATTATCTTTTTATTATTTAATTATTTATAATAATTTTTTTAATTATTTATTATATTATTTTATATAATTTAATTGTTTAAAGTTTTAAAATTTTGCAACATTTAAATTTAGATGAACCCAGAATGTAGTGATGGAAATAGGTAAAATAGTTTTAAAATGTTAATATAATATAATAAATTATTGTATAATTATTGTTAATTGAATAACATTTCATCCTGTAAACTTATAACAAGTAATAGCAAATCTAAATAAAAAACTTCTTTCATTGATAAAATACAGTGCTGCTAAAATTATAATTGATTTTTCAAAATTTCAATATATTTGCTATATTTTCATGAATAAGCCATAAGAACATATTTTATATTTCTTTCAAATAGTTCACCTAACATTTTAGTACTTTGTTTGGCCACCTTTAACCAATTTAAGGGCATTAACATGAATAAGCATAGACAAAATCAAACTTTGGATTTTGGATCTCATCTTTTAGTTGTTCTTAACTTAGAATCATGTCTGGAGTGTCTGGGCCATTTAAGTACTTTTAAAGAACTTTTTGCAAACCATTTTTTACATTCTTGTGATTTTAAGATTTTTTTTACAGTGTAGCATGGAGCACTATCCTGTTGAAAAATTGATTCTCTATCACCAAACCACTCCCTGGCTTGAAGAACTAGACGACTTTCTACTACTTTGATGTACTTGTTCTGGTAAATTGTCCCATCAACTATGTGTAGTCAACTTATACACAGATAGGGCTCCCCCAGGCCATGATCTTTATTGGAAGTTTTACATTCTTCTTCAAGCAGTCAGGTATACTCCTCTTCTCTTCCTACTCTCTCCTGACTTTCTCTCCTCTACTCATGACTTTCTTTAAACTGCCTAGACTCTGTCATCTAAGACTGCATATATGGACTTATCAGAAAAGACCTTCTAAAAGAGGAGTGACTCTTTAAACAAAAACTGAATATTTGGCACTTGTGACATTCTCATATTTAAAATCATATATTGCATAATTTTACATTTCATTCAAAATCTTGCCAGTAAAATGTTCAGAAATTAACAATAAAAAGGTATCTGTATCCTAACTTTATTTAAATCTTCTTCTGTCCAGGTTTCATGCTCCTTGACCCACTTATATAACTACTTCTTGGGCCATTCATATCTTGGGCCTTCATTTGATTTGTCAACCTGGGTTTTTCTCTTGGTTGATATGCCTTTAGTCCAATTTACAAAAGGTGGTTGTTCACAGTCTGATGGCTTAAAAATATACCTTCATCAGCTAGTTCCATCACAATTTTTTTACAGGAGGTTCTTTTGTTCTTTTGGGTCATATTTTGTACCTTTCTTGAAAATTGATTGAAATGTCCTGACCCAGTTACAAATGTCTTTCCATCTTATGTTGCCCTGTTTGGGGACTAATGACTTTAGAAACCATTTATGACCTTAAAATTGAAGGACAGGTCTTATATAATTGATCCACAGGATGGTATATGCATTTTACTTTTTAAAATTCAAGAAATAATTAGAAAGATAATTTTGTTTGTCTAAAATGGGATTTTTTAATGAAGTTTTATAAATCTATAATAATTTTAGCAGTGCTCTAGTATTTATTAGTAATTTTTACTGTAATCTCATTGTTTTGTAACTTTTTCAGAAAAATATAATGAATATATAAATATTAATATATATATATATATATATATATATATATATATATGCTATTACCAATTAAATGTGTATTATGTAATACCATTACATCATTAAGCGATTAAAAAAAGGATCTGTGAGGAAATTTTTGGTTAAAACTGTTTAAGGATCTACTTTGCACCAGAAAACTAAACTTTTAACAGCTAAAAGTTTTTAGCTGTTAAAAGTATAAATAACTATACATGTGGAAAAAAAAACACAGATTTATTGGTTTGTTAAATTTATGTGTAATGAACTTCTGAATTTTTTACATGAATGAGTAATTAATGTTATTATTAACTTTTGTTATGTATATTTGTCATTTAGTATTCCAGGTTATGTAAAGTGCAAAATGGAAAAAGGGTTAGCTTTGAATAATATTGACATGGTTGAAGAGGTTATAATTAGATTATTGAAAATTTTATTTGATAGAAAAACGGTTATATTCAATCATCAATTAAATTATAAATTTAAATTGCTTTAGGCTTTAACAAGCTGGAAAAATGAAAGTGCTAAAAAATTGATTAAAGATAGTTTAGATCACAATCAAAAGTTGAAAAGACGAAAAGTAAAATGTCCAAAATGCGATAGGTAGACTAAACTTTTAGTTGTTTTTAATGAACTTTTTATCAATTTAAATATTTTTTAAAAAACTGCATTTAATCTTTTATCAGACCTATTGTAAATTTAAAACGACATATGATGTCCGTGCATAAATTAGATGAAGCTCAAGCTAAAGCAGCACGTGTAAATTTTGGTCTTAACATCACGAAAAAAAGTGTAAGTGAAAGTTATAAAAAGAGAAAGTATGTTCGACGCCAGTGCCCTATGTTTTCATGTGCTTTGGCTCCAAAACGTCTCGAAAATCATTTGAATCAGTATCACAAACTTGATAAAGAAAGAGTTAAAAGGTACTTATTGAAGGCCTGTCCACTATTAGAAGATTTTCCTGATGAGGAAATTGTTTCTGAAAGATTGAGAAACAATTTATCTTCTCCTGATTCAGATTTATCTTTATCAGAGACAAGTGATAGTGAATCTTTTACAGATTCAGAAGCGAAGGCAAAACAAGAATGGTTTTTTACATCAGAAATTTCTAGAAAAGGGGCAGATTTTCTTAACAGTTCAGAAGATGAAGATTGGTTGGCTCAAGAGTATATGAAAAGGAGAGGTATTCTGCCTGTAAAAGATAGTAATTCAGCAAGTTCCACGGTATTTTAAAATAATTTTTTCATATTCTGCTAATTATAAAACTTATAAAAAAATTTATAAATCAAAAATTTTTAAATACTGCAGTTTTTAATTTATTGTTTTCAAACTTTTTCAGAAAATAGTTTTAACACCTGAAAAAGATTCAATTATGAAAAATGATTTATTAAGTTCCAGGGTATGAATTTTAACAACTAATTTACTTTTGGTTTAAAATAAACTTTAATGAAAACTGCTGTATCTTATTTGTATTTGTATTTTAATTCTTTTAAAGGAAAGTGAAAGTGATGATCAAAGTGATAAAGACTTTGAAGATATTGAACAGCCTTTTATTTTATCTTCATTAGAAGAAGATATTTTTATAAATAAGTTTTCTGATTGGTTGTACAGTAATGATGGAGGAAAAAAACCAAGAAGTACATGCTCTAAACATAAATCAACAATTATGAGCATGGTGCGATCTGGTGATAGTCCAGTTGATTATAAAAATCTTTTTAACCGTGAGTTCATTA